AGTATCCTGAATGGGATAAGCCAAGAGTTTACCCAGCATTCGAAGTAGTAAGAGCGCGTTGTGAATTAGAAAAAACCGAAGCTAGATTACATGCGAAATGGTTGGAACAACAAAAAAAACGAAAGCTTATGGATGAGCAATGGCAGCAGATGAGAAATCAGGAATTGATCTTCCGGGAATCATTTATAAAATTCAATAGATTCGTGAAGGAAAATCAAGAGAAACGTGATCGTGCTGATATTAAAATTAAAGAAGAACGTGAACGTCAAACGATTAGACAAGAAGAAGTAATATATCATAAAAAATTGATAAAAAATTATTATTTATAATAATATAAATATAATTCTATTTATTTAGCAGAGAATATATTTTTCAGATAAAACAGATAAATGAAAATTTAAAACACATGTATGATGTTCGAGACAGAATGAAGAAACATGTACAAGAATATCAAAAATATTCACATTATTTAGACAGAGTTATTATCGAAACAGGAGAATTTCAATCAATTTCTGAGATTTTTAATCGATACGAAACATTAATAGAAGCACGATCAATTTTAACCGAACATCAAAATAAGAATCTTCGATTATTAGAAGAAAGAGGAACAGAAATGGTATTCTTTTAATATATATATTATTATTATATATATATTATTATAATATATATATAATATATATATACATTATTAATCTTCCACTTATAATAATACAACGAAAAAAATGAATATCATTTTTTTTATAGCATCATATGTCAGAATCAAAAGCACAACAAATTCTAGGATTGAATAACACGTTGGCACAATTACAAGCAAGACGCGATAAAGCAGAAGTACAAGCTCGTAAATGGGAATCAATTGTTGCTGAAATAAAAGTAACTGCAATGGAAAAAAATTTGGAGCATACACAAGTGAAAACATGTTGCTGGAATCTATATCAACAAATCTGCAAGAAAAAGGATATTCCCGTGACTGTGAGCAAAGACGATATCGAGCAACAATTAGATCAAATTAAACGAACAATTATTGAATTAAAATCGATCATGAAAATTGCAAAAAAACGTGTAACAAAATAAGAAACACAGTTTATTTGAAATTATTTGTTCAACTATGTGTAAATAATATTCTAAAGAAATAAAATATATTGATAAATATCTTATTACTTATTTTATAGTATTTTTACCAGTTTTATGAATTGCATGACTATGTTGAAGATTCAGCCGATTATCTTGTATGTAGTTCATAAATATTAATGATTGTGTATTACAGACTCTGTGTTACTATTTTATTGATATCGTTTTTGTATGATTTTTCTAGCTGCCGGTAAATGACAACCAGATATATTATGCAAAAGTTCTGAATAATCTTCATCGAGTCTTTGCTTTAACTTTATAGTAGCTGCTTCGCGCGTCAATGGCTGTTCCAAACCTTCGGATACAATTTGTAATTCTTCTTTTTCGACGCATCTATATGATTTGATGATTTTTTTTAACAGGTATTCATTGTATTGAAAAAAAAAAATATTAAAAAGAAACTTAAAAATATTTTTAGGAAAGAGAAGGATAATAAGAAAAGGAAATGGAGAAAAATAGATGGAATGAAAGGACTTACAAGGCACAAGGTTGAGTGGGAGCAATATATTCAATAGGAGGCACTTTCAATCTAGGTCTTCTTTCTTCGTCAATTCGCAATTGTTGCGTTTTCGTAGTTCTATCCAGCCAATATACTTTGTGGAACATTTGTGTAATTTGTTTTTCAATAATTCCTAAATATAGCATTACATTACTCATCGTTATCTGTTCATTATCGCCCAATAATCGTAAAATTGGAGAATTATCACAACGAATTGCTTTAAACAGAGAATCTATTCCTTTTAATAGTTTTTCTAGTACATCATCACACTGAAATATATAAAAATAAAAAAATTAGTTATTTAAATAAAAATAGCTCATTCATAATTCATTTCATAATTTGATACTGTAAATTTTAAGTATTCGAAAATTAATAAAATATAACCTGTGCCAGATTTTCTTCAGCCGCATCAGCAAGTGCGGTTTGCTGTTCAAGTTCTGTTTTGAGCTGCTCTAATGTCTGAGTTTGTTCGTAACTAATACGATCATTTAAAGTTTGTGCCTCTTGTATAGCTATTGTTAATTGATCAATTCTCGAATTAAGACTCTCCAATTCATCGTTTAATTCATTTACGTAACTGAACAAGGCAAAATTTTCTTCCTCTTGTTTGATAAATTTTGCTATAAGTTTATCATTATTTTGTTCACCTATAATTTATTACGAAGTTTTAGATTTTAGATTAAATTACTATTTTACATATTTTTATTTATCTTAAAAAAATTTAAAGGATCAAATTAAAAAAAAAAAACAGAAACGAATCATAAAATTAAAAAGAAAAATAAAACATAATAATTATAATATTAATTATCTTATATAAATGAGAAATGTATCGGTACATGTGGTATGTACAAAAGATAAAGAAACTATAAGTACCAATAAATTCTTTAATCGTATGTAAAATATTCTTATAAGTTTCAATCTTGGATTGTTTATATTCCATTGAAGCTTTTCTTTCAGCTGCACGTTTTTCATTTAAATCACTCATTTCACGATGTTGTCCTTTTACACCAAGAAATTCTTGTAATTTCATTTCATTATCCATTGTTCTTTGTAATTCACACATTTCTGAGATATGATTTCTTAAGTCTCTTAATCCCCTTAAAAAAAATAAACATTCATTTATATTCACAAAATTACATGTTTGTTAGTCACTAACAAAAATGTAAATCGATTAATGACCTAACAAATAAAATATTGAATAATCATTGAAAACAAGATTGTCGAATATACTATTGATTTCTTGATCATTATTCTCGATTTCGATTGATTTTAATGTAATATCTTATTTTGCATAAAATATGATTAATTTTCAAATTATTAATGTAATTCTCAGAATAACGATTCATCTTTTTAATTTTTCCAATTATTTGTTGATTAACACAAAAATGTCATAAAACTTTTGATAATTATTATTATGATAATTATGATAAGTATTAGTTTTAAATTTATTATTTTATAATAATTGGAAGTATAAATTATAGATTTATTATCTAAATTATTTAAAAATTTCAAATTTACCTTTCACGAAGAGCTTGAATCTTATTTAATTCTTCATCCCTTTGATTGAATGCGATAGTAGCTTGTTCTACTAAATCATTTATAATTTGCTTTCCAGTATTTAATTGGTGAATTAATTTATTCCAAAGTGTTGTAAACTGCAATCTTTCTTTGAGTCTATCTTCAATTTCATCTCGAAGTTTTGTATTAAGAGCAACAGCAATGTTAAATCTTTTTGTTGCTACTTCAAGCCGATTTTCCAACATATAAACTATATTTTCATCTCGTATGTACATTTCTTTTAATTGAACGTCTGTTTTAATTTTTCTCCTTATGAATTCTATTTCTTTTGATAACTGAAAACAATATTAGTATTAATAATAATTTTTATGTTGAAATATTAGTGCTTGAAATTAATATAAATTAATAAACCTTGCGAATTTCAACATCGATTTCTCCTATTTCCTGTTTTTCATTCTTTATCATTTCATCATATTGTGTTTGCGATGTTAAAACACACTTTAGCTTTTCTTCCATTTTTTCTTCTTTACGAGTGAACGTTTTTGCGCTGGCAGTTTTAATACGAAGAACAAGTTCTGCCTTTTCATATTCCAAACGATTAATCATATTTATTTGTTTACGAAGTTGTAATTTTGCATCTTCTGCACAAACACTTCGATCATTTTCCATTATCCTAAATTGTCTTTTTAATCTTGAAAGTTCATTTTGAGCTATTGTCTCAAGCTCAGTCTCGTCTAACATGTGTTGCATTTTACGAGCCATTTTTAAGCTTTACTTTTTTTAATTATAACCTTTTAAAATATATAAATATAATTTTGTTACAATTTTTAAATTATAATTTATAATTTTGTTCAAATATCATTCTTATTTAAATTTTAAACTTTATTTTTTTTCAAAATGCAATAAAGACATGTTATATTTAATCCTCTATATTTTCAAATTTTATTTATTGAACAATTAATTTATAAATTCTTACAAATTAGATATATATACACTACTTGTTGTATAAGATTGTTTTTATCGATTGAGGTCTAAGTATAAAGGTTAATGTGACTCACTATTTGTTAAACATTTATGAAAAGTTACGATCAATGGATTAGAGATTTTTCCGGAAGATGCCAACGTCTTCGTTCATATCTTCCTCACTGTTCACATAAATAATCTTAAGGATCGATGGAGGAGTGGAAAACACTTTCCCAATGTAACTATTGATGACGTTCAACGAGTACATTTGAGAAAGACATCTGCCACCCTGTATAATTCTACCATCTGTGCGTTCTTGTTGATTCTTTCGGTTGCCAAGCACTCTCTTAATGTATAATAACAGGGATTTTGGTTTTTTACATGTTTAATGAAATGTTTTAAATGATTTTTTTTATATAATATAACTTGTATAAAAATGATTGCAAAAAATTGTTAAATGTCCAAGAGAGAAAAATATGATTTATGGAAAAATTAATGTTAACTGTTAATGTAATTATTTACTTTTTCATAAAATTAATTATTTGGAAAATCATTGATATTAGTCAATATGTATATCATTTGATGATAAGTGATTTTATTATATTGTATATATATTTAAATTGATAAATATTTACTTTATAATAGAATATTCAATATCGCACATCTTCTAATATTACTTATTTTTATATGTACACTTCTTCTTTAATCGTTTGATTACTATGCAGTTTGTAAAATGCTTTATAATAATATTGTCTTCTTTTTTCGTAAAAATGCCTTTTTTTTTTATATAATTATAGTGAAATTTGAATGATTTTGCACGAAATGAATATTTTCTAACTCTCGAAAAGATATGGACAATTTATATTGTGGTATTAAAATTGTATATGGTACAATTTGATGTATTTTTGTTATATGACATTTTATTATATATATATATATATATTATAAATAATATAATGGACAAAATTTAAAAGGATTTTAAAAAATATTTATTTTAATATAATACATCGATAACAATAGAAAACGTAAGAGGATCATATGTTAAACACGATCCATAGATTTCATGAGATCGAGTCAGGTGGCGGTTCGACCAGGTGGGTCAAGTAGTGGGGATAACGTTAGTGGTGGGTACAGTCAAAGGAGAGGTTAGTATGCTTTCAGAAGGAAAGGTCGATAGGTTGATTGTTTCGTGTTCATAAATCGTTGTACTTTTTTTTTATTTTCCCGCGTTTTATTTTGCTTATGTACTTATTATTTTTCAAAAAAGTGAATATCGTTTGTATGTTATGCGAGATATACGTAAATTAATCAAAAGATAAATCAAATACGATAATTAATCGCATCGGTGGCAATATGAACGACCAAAATTGAGATAATTGCATCGTGGATCGAATTTAACAGTGTGAGCGAACGTTTTCATAGCGGAACGAGTAGAACTTTCAACCGAAGCCTCGGAGGTGGGAGGATCTACCTGGCTGAGAAGCACGGCGCACGATTCCGTAATATTTATTTTCTACTGGCGGCTAGTGAGTCACTACCTGGCCGACCACGGTGCGGCGAGCTGGTCGCCTCGCGTGTCTGTGTCCTTTTACATGTGTTTCTTGCAAAAGTGAGTTTACAGTGACGCTTTGAACCAATCGAACAGAAAGGAAATTCAAGGATAATTATTGCTGAAAAGAAAATTATTTTCGATCGATTTATATTTTGAGCACGAAATACAAGAAAATTTCATCAAATTTAGTGTATCTCGAATTTCAAACACAATATTCGTAATCATTGACGTCACATTTATATAAGGACAACTCAAAACAAGTATCAGCATTTGTTACGTTGTGAAGATTTCATGGATATCCATATATATGTGCAATCAACAGACGCCACTATTGACTTTGATATATCAGTGTAACATTGGATTCTATAATGCAAGTTAAATCGAAAATTTTACTAGCAGTCAAGTGCGATTCGTGCATCGATAGCAATCACTTATTTACGTGTTTGTAGTGAATAGTGCGATAATTTCTATATGTATGTTATACTTGGAAATAATCGTAAACAAAATAATAGAGAATACATCTGAACATTATATCCATGTTGCTAATTTTGAAGCATGGTTACATTGTTGACTTTCTATCGAAGAAGAAGGAATCGTTGCTGTCTTTATGTTTGCGTGTAACAAGGAAACGGAGCAGAACAACGGAATTAGTTAGTCCCGTAACAATTCTCCTAGTTTTTCATGTTAAAAAATGTTAGTTTAACAATCGATCGATAACAATTATTAAACCGATCGATATTAACCTACAATTTTGTCGCAACATATTTCACGCTGTCTTTGAATATTTCCAAGTGAATTGATTTTATGTGCGTGCATGCGTCGAATCGTGTATCGGATACAATTTATGAAAGTAACATATTCAATAAAGGATTATATTGCTGAGTGTGATCACAGCTGATCGTTTCCGGTTATGAGATTTCACCGATTGACAAGAAAACCTGTTTGGATAATGCGTACGAGTTGGGACGAGAGAAAAAGTGATTTTTTACATAGCTCTTATTATCACACATGATGTGCAATTTATTTAAAAGTGAACGTTATGAATTACGAATGAGTGATCAATTCTTTTATTCTTTTAATTGCATTTTCGAAACAAATTTTAAATCAATATGCGTAATAATCAAGCGATGTATAACCGAATATTTTTGATTCAATCGATAAGCGTTATCTTTAATCATATAAAAAAAAAGAATTAAAAATCTTGCTTAAACAATTTATATCATTTGTTGAGAACTTGATACACGTTCAACCTTGAATACCATATGTTTCTATTCTCAATTTATTTCGATAGAAAGAACATATTTTGATGACGCCAAACTTCAAATGAAATCTTAGATATGTATTTATTTATTAACATCAATCAATCTCAAGTCGAATATCGCGGTCTTCAATTCATATTACGAGTTTTTTCGAGCTATCCATGTTAATTCGAACGTTATAAATGATTCTGACGTGTAGACATTTAGTCACCTGGTTTCACATGGGTCATTATTACGAACAATAATAAAAGTCACGCGTCAGCGTGACACGTGACACTAGAACGATAATTGACAAACGTGAAACAATTCGCGAGCACGATGTTACCAAAAAAGGACGGCCATCCCGAGTCGTATGCTTTAGAGGATATGATATCCGATCTCCAGGCGCGACGAAATTCCCTAGATCAAGAAGATCTCGAAGATCCAGCGGAACTTCTAAAAAAACGCGACAGAGATCTTGTTTTAGCTGCGGAATTGGGTAAAGCACTTTTGGAAAGAAATCAAGAATTAACTAGACAGAGCGAAGTCCTCACTGAAGAGTACTCGACAAAATTAGAGGTAAGTTTTTATGATTCTTCATTTTGATATCAATCTATTATTTTATTTCCATCATATTTGTTAGACAGAATTTTGAGCAATACACGCAACATAATTTGTTATCTACTATATCAATTTGCGTCGTGAAAGATAAATAAAATATTTGATAATCGATTAGATACGATTAAGATAGTTTACTTGATGAAAATGAATTTATATAGGACGAAAAATTTATTTTCTTTTGATAAATTAATTTTCAATGAAATGGACGGTAATTGAAAGTGATAGTAATAATAGTTCGTCGAAAGATTAACGGCAGATTCGCATTGCGTAAAGAAAGATTTTATTAGATTAATCATGGAGGCGTGGTTTGCTTCTACAGTTTTCACACGGACTGGTTACACATCGTTTCATTACGTTGAAAACTCACATTAAGGGAGTCACCGTATCATCTCGTATTAATAGAATTAATAGAAAAAAAGATTTTTAATTAATCTATGAATAGAATTATATGACGATTACGTGCGAATAATCGCGTAAAACGTTAATAAAAGATCTGTTATCCTAAGTCCAGATCATTCTAAAAAAGTAGTAATCTTTTATTACTAATTTTTATCATAAAAACAACCTTAACAGTTTTGTGTTCATTGCGTACGATTTCGAAAAGGCGCGTATTTTTATGATAAATTGTATAATATTGTGTAATATTAACCTGATTATTGAAAATAAAATAAAAACTTTTTAGAACAAATTTTCATAGTAACATAAAATAATATAATATAATATAATATAATAAAATAAAATAATATAATATAAGTAAAGCTTTAAAATAGATTTTGGATGAAAATTATTTCCAAATGTGTAACAATAACAACAATTGATAGTAAAAAATGGCTGTGTTGATAATCATTTATTTTGTTTCGAAGTATATTTTTAATCTGAAACAACCAAGTGAAACGATTTAGAGTTCCTGAAGTAGCCAACTCAAGCGATAACTTATTTATTAACCTATTTATAATCACTGATTCGTATTGCGTGTATCTTGAAAGTTTTCCTCACTTCCTCACTTTGCTAGGAAGTTTGCATGTTTTGTCCTCTGAAAAATAAAAACGAAATAAAAGGAAAAAAAAAAAAAAGAAAAACGAAGAAAAATGAAAGTCGAAATGTACATTCGCTCGCGAACAGACGTTTCTCCACGGATTTCGCTAGAATCGGGTCACGGGGCACGGTTCTGAATTACAAATGGACTTTTTACAAGCGTCATGATGGGGTCCAGATCGCGGCAATGATAAATTTATCCGCGAAAAATAATAGGAACGCTGACACTGAAAATCGTATCATCGTTGGTAAAATTACATCGTTTGCCGATTTCATTTTTCATCTCGTCGCTTTCACGTTCGAAACGATGCTTTTATTTTGAAATTAATGCTGTTACTTTTCACTTTCGATAACTCGATACAATTGTGATCGATATGATATAGAGGAAAAAATGAAAAAAAAAAAAAAAATATTCGCAGTATGTTACAACGAATTGTCATAACATCGTTGGAAATTCCAGAATAGAATTTAAAAGTTCTTCATTATTTATAGTTTTATTCATCGCTGAATCACCCTTTCGTATGCATTACTTGTGAAAACTTCATTAACATCACTCTGTTAAATAATGCTCGAGCAATCAAAAGTTGAGGAAAAAAACTTGAATATTCGCGAAGTAGTTGAAAATATATTATATTATATTTATTATTTTCTAGAGCATCCTATTTGATTTTATAATATCATTTTCAATCTTTTTGCATAAAATATTCAATGCGTGATCGTTGCATTTATACGCAATCGTTTTGAGATCGAAAAAATAAATAAAATTGAATTACTCGAGACACATAATATTTCATTTAATCAATTCTTCCAATTATCTTTAAGAAGTTTATTAATCCTCTTCTTCTTCGAAATAAGTTCTCCGCGTGTTGTGACGACATGTAACGTGCCGAGTTGGAATAAGTAGGTAGGTAGTCGTACGTGGACAGAAAGCCACGAAAGCGTGGAAACAAGTCACTTAGGCAACGTAACGTCAAAGACAATGCCCGGCATCACGCTCTGCCTGCCCGCGTACCCGCTTCTTCGCCTATCTTTCCGCGTTTTACCTGTCACCGTATTTTTGACCTCCGGAGAACACGCCATGAGCGCACTCCTCTGTTTTTCTTTTGTCTTTGGTTACAATGCTTCGGTTATACATGGCGCCTTGTTCACGCTTGTAAACCGGGATCCAGTTCACTGGGTTACTACAAAACTTCGTCGTTTTGGAATTTTGAAATTTTTTTGATCGCTTGATTGAGAATGAAGGAACATTTTTAAAAGATTAAAAAGTAAACGACTATAACATCGAATGATTTAATTCAAGGGATTTAGAATTTCGTTTATTGGAATATTTTTAAGAAAATTTCGATATCGGAATGCGATTTCTTTTTTTTTTTTTTTTATTCCAATTTTATTTCGAGGAAATCACAGTTATTTTGGGGCTGGAGAAAGACAAAACATGCGAACAGTACAGATTCTTCGCGATTCTTTTTTACGCGATGCATTCCAGAAACGTCGATCGTGCTTTCTTTCGAACGGATCTACGTGTTTTCCGCCTTCCTTCCGGATATAATTATTATTCGCGCCAGAAAGTTCCGCGAAGATGCATTTGCATTCCCCAAAATAAGAAAAAAATATTCAAAAGATATTTCATGTGCCGATAATTATGCAAACGTAACAAGGCCTCGCGACAAAAAAACATCGTCATCATTATAAAAAAAACGATCGTATCGTATCGTTAAATGGCTGTCCGCCTATTCTCTCTTCATTATGCTAACGTATACACGTCAACGAATATTCCACAAATTAACAATGTTAAAGTATATTCTCAGGAATACTCAGTCGAGAAAATAAAATCGTGCATGCATCAATCCTTTTTCTCTTCTTTTTCTCCAATTTTTTTCTTTCATTAACTCTGCACCACCTTAATAGTTTCACTTTCACGATTCTCTTCTCGTTTGTAAACGATCATACACAAACTCGTGCGAATACGTTCAGGTGTAGATATACAAGTGTGCTTAAGAATTGTAAAAAAAAAAAGATTCGCATGACGCCCCTATATGGCATGCGTTTGATCGAACGGGCATGATGTTGCGTTTCCGGATACTTTAATTAGACTCGTTCATGTTACTTTTACAGGTGTAGAGTACAATTGTATCCGGTATTATCGCACGTATCGTTAAAGTTCGATTATGTAAAGCCTCTAGAAAGCATTTTAACTAGTAATTAATAATCGGATGACGATTTCTTTGATTAATTCGCTCTCTCAACTTTAATCCCCGTTTATTGATTTTTTGAAATCTCATCAATTAGTTTCATATATATATATATGAAGTTTTATATATATATATGTGTGTATATAATTATATATGATTGATAATTATCCACAATTCGACGACCAATTGGCAGTCGATGCGTTGAGGTATGCGATTATTCAATAACAATGCTTTCGAAACTCTATGGCAATCTTTCCGTGTCTGAACAACGAAAAATAGTATAATAATCGAGGGAAAAGAATTTTAATAGCGAAAAAGAGAGGTAATGAATGCGTGTGGTTGAAGAAGCGTTGAAACGCCGCCACTTAGTCACGGAAGAGTTTTTGAAATTTTGAAATTCAAATACCAATTAGTCTCGTTAATTTACCCACGATTACGCTTTAAAAGACAATGGCAAAAAAAATTGATTTATTAACGAATGATTAAAATGAGCTCGCTTAACGAATTTAATATGCACTTTAATTGGTCAGACGATACATCGTAAATTTGATTCAAGAATTATATTCTTATATAGTAGAATTATATAACAATTCACTCTTATAGTAATAAATAATCACAAATATATATGAGTAGAAATTTAAAGAATTTGAACTTAATTTAAAAATATATATATAAAAAAAAAATGAATGGTGTGATAATTCAAGGACAGAATTTTTGATCCATTGTCAACGGATACTGTCAAAAGAAAAAAAGTGGGTTACAGTAGCAATGAAATCGAGCCATTAAGTTTACCTCTCGTTATTGTATAATTGGTGGTCTGAAAGCGGTGGCAGAATAATCGCGGCACCGTGTCGACAATAAAAAGCGCCACTTACACGGTTGGCACAGCCAAGATCTAGAAAGCTAAGATTCCACGAGCTCCTCGCAGCCGGTGATCCGAGAATTTAGTGCTCGCGCGAATTAAGCGATCCGACTGTTTACTCGTGGCGTTGTTCTATCTGTTAAAGATTTATTCATCCCGCGAGATGAATAAATTGTTTCTCCAGCCTTCGTGATTTTTCGATACCAGACAGTTTTTTTATCCTTTATGCATTCGCATTCATGATGGAAGAATAAACGAGAAATTTTTAGATTCATTTCGTTTTCATCTTAAACCGAGATATTTTTAAGCGATGATAATTTTGAAGGAAAGTCATTTGCCTTTACGCAATTTCACGCGATTAGAATTGAATAATGGAGAATATTTTGCAACGACTAATAATATTACCGTGATCCATACATAAAATATTAATATTTTCTTAAACAATATCGAATTAATTTGCACGCTTAATGGTATGTATAGAAGTCATGACAATAAAATATACTACGTACATCGTCTGTAACAACTGTATATATATATATATATGTATGTATATATATATATTACACAATTTGTCTAGACACGTAATTATCGACAGATAGTAAATTAATTTAATCTTAACGAAACTCTTTAAATGGTAAACATTAAAAATAATTCGTTCCAACAACGTAACATAATTAGCCTCATTGTTCCCCGATTCGATGGGAAATTTCAACGGTCCATTATACAATTCCTCAAGAATCGTGTGAGAAAGTGCGAAACGAAGGTAGCCACGGCTACGTTCCGCGCCTAGTAGAGGCGTCGAGTATTTTAGGATTTAGAATTTAGCACTATAAGGTTAATATTGGCAGGAAAATGCGTCGTGAGATCGT